GTCGGTGAAACTCCGACGAAACAGTTTGTCACAGCCCCTCGTTTGTTGTCCTCTTCTCTCTCTCTGCCTACGGTTTACCGGACAGTTCTATTTGTGACGATATATATATATATATATATATATATATATATTTCCTGATGAGTCGATGAAACTCCGACGAAACAGTTTGTCATAGCCCCTCGTTTGTTGTCCTCTTCTCCCTCTCTGCCTACGGTTTACCGTACAGTTCTATTTGACGATATGAAACTCCGACGAAACAGTTTATCACAGCCCCTCGTTTGTTGTCCTCTTCTCCCTCTTTGCCTACGGTTTACCTGGCAGGTCTATTTGACGATATATATATATTATATCTATTTGACGATATATATATATATATTTATATATATCGTCGCAAACAGAACTGCCCGGTAAAACCGTAGGCAGAGAGAGAGAAGAGATATATATATGTCCCCTTCCGTTTTTTCTCAGCCAGTGGCCGCTCATCATCGCCTGATGAGTAGTCCGATGAACATTCCTCTTCATCATCACGTGGCCTCTTCCTTGCCACACCCTCGTCCTTGCCCCCCTCGTCCTTGCTCCCCTCTCCTCTGTTTTTTTCAAGTGTTTGTGCAAGGTTTTCCTCGAGTGTCTGCGCAGGGTTGTTCTCTCCCTCCGCAGTCACGGCATCTGAACCCTCCACATCTGTTGCTGGCGTTTTTCTTGGCCTGCGTCTAGCTTTTTTTTGGCATTGAGGATCAGGCTGTGCCGACGATATCCCTGTCTCCTTCTGTGGTGCTGTCGTCGCAGCACCATGAGGCAGTGCGTCACCACCCCCCTTTCTATGAGCACGCATGTGCTCCTCTGTTCCCAAGGTGCGTGCCCTCCTTCGCACTTCAGTTTGGGAACGCTTGACGAGGAAGTTGCCTGCCTTTGTTAATCCACGCCAGTCCCCGCAATGACCCTCAATCTCCTCGAGGTTGCATTCTTCACGGCACGGAATAGCAACTTCATCCCCATATTTGTCACCCCCGCCATCAACAGGTGGAACAACATCGTCACCAGTCGAGGTAAGGCTCTTCAATTGGCGCTCAACCAACTTCACTCTTTCTTTAGACTCCTTTTGCTCCTCCTCCGTAGGTGGGTCATCGCATTCAACAAGGTTTTTTGCCCTCTCCGGCATCTGCAGCAGCGAGTCAAGCAGGCGCATATTCCACTTGGTGTACACCAATTTGTGCATTGTCTCCGGGGCCAAGGCGTTCCGCTCTTTGGAGTGAATTGCTGCAAAAAGGCTCCAATTCCTTTCGCAACCTGAAGCCGACGACCCTTGCCCCAACAACCGAATGGCATGGGGCTGCAAGTGTTGCAGCTCATTGCACCAGCGCTTCCACCATGCCGCAGGGTTTTGCTTACGGGCTGCATCCATGGCGGCTTGCGAGCTGAACTTGCCAATGTTATGAACCCAACAATCGACTTCGTACTCCACCTGGTCACACACCTCCTGCGATGGCCCTTTCAGCCATGTGTACACCCAAGTGTAGAATCCATCTTGGATCTCTGCATCCTTGTGCGGCTCAGACGACCGCCGACCGGTACTCCGGATCCAAGAACAGGGCTCCACAGTGGAGGGGGGTGGTCATAGCATTCCATCTGCGCATGACCATCACCTCGATCTCCTCCCGGTCCTCTGCCATCAGGTCCTTGTTGACTCGCAGGCGTTCCACTATCCTGTCCATCTTCGCATAAACCTTGCCGATGGTTGGACCGTTGTCATCCACCACCTTCAATAACAAAACAATGTCGTATACGACATTGATTGTCTTGTTGACATCTTCCCAAAAACCTGCTGCATCAAGCAAGACATCTTCCATTTCGTGGAAGGTCGATTGCTATCCATGGGGAACCAACGTTGTTGTCCACCTCTCGTCTGTTGTGACCATAGCCACCAACGCTTTTCGCTGCTACTTCAAGCGGTCCAACATGTGAAAGTTGGTGGCGAAACGCGTTGCTGCAGGTTGCAGTAGTTGTCTCCCACCCGAGTGGATGTAGTAAATGTCCCTAACTCGCTGGTGGTTCATGATGAATTTTACCAAGTCATTCGCCTTCCCCACCGTTCGAGCCACCCACTCCATCTTCCCAACATTGTGCAACACTAAGTCAAGGCAGTGTGCAACACATGGCACATGGAAGCTCGTAGGGAATGTATCCTCCACCAATCTGCCAGCTCTCACACACACTGCAGCGTTGTCCATGATCACTCCAGCAAAACTATTATCACCAACTTCACGACTGGACTCAGATAAGATATCAAAGTACTTTGTTGCGCCCTTGTCCTTGCCTGACATGCAGTGCGACTTCCAAAAAAGCACACCGGCTGGAAAGGAGACCATGATATTCAAGTGCGGTCTGCCTCTCCGATCAGTCCAACCATCAAGCTGGAGCATGCATCCTGATCGAGGCCAACTTCTCTGCTGCCGCAAACCCCCCTCCTCGACGCGAGCCCGTGACATGTCCAACCTTTTCGTCCGCTGCGCGTCGTACTTTGCAGGGATGAAGGACTGCTCTGCGTCGCGAACCTTTTTTAGCATGCGCAAGAAATACTTACTGCGCACCATGTTGAACGGGACTCCTTCGTAAACCAACCAATCATCTATGGAGCGTTGTGCTTCTTCATTCTTCGAGATGATTGCCCCGCCCTCTTCTAGCGTGCTCTGCCGCACCTTGGTTGTCGTCGAAAGACTAGTCTTGACTCTGTTTTCCGCTGGTTGGGGGTTGTTGCACTCGTCCTCGGCGTCCATGTCTTTCATGCCTTCGACGTCTGAAAGACAATCATGTGACGGTGCCCGAGGCACAGCCTTTCCCAACACCAGCGCGATTGCCTCCAGCGGGCCCAACTCCCTCCTCTCCTTTTCCTCTACCGACAGCCTGCTGCCTAGTCTGTTCATGTTGCACCTGGGCCCTTTTGTCGTGGACATGAAGTGCTTTGCACAGTGCTTTGCGCTCCCAGGGAACAACAGATCGCAATACAGGCATTCCCATATGTAGTTCCCTTTCCTCGGCTCCCCATGCACTCCAACATTCTCAAAGTGGCGCTTGATCGCATCTGCACCTCCTTTAGGCATCCTGAATTTGATGGAGACAAGTTGACAACAATGCAGCAGAACAGCAAGCAAGGGGTGTCAGATGATTTCAAAGTGCGCGTTGCTGTGCAACAGAACATTTCCCCGGATCCCCATGCACTCCAACATTCTCAAAGTGGTGCTTGATCGCATCTGCACCTGCTTTAGGCATCCTGAATTTGATGGCGACAAGTTGACAACAATGCAGCAGAACAGCAAGCAAGGGGTGTGAGATCATTTCAAAGTGCGCGTTGCTGTGCAGCAGAACAGGGACGAATTACTTCGGGGGGGAGGGTCGACAGATCTTCACAGAAAAAAAACAGTGGTCTACAGCATTGCCATTCCCTCCCCCGCCCTCCCCAACGCGACAGCAAGTTCAATTTCCTGGAAACGTACGCAAGGAGGAAGGGGGGGGGAGGGAAAAAGACAGCATTTTCCCACCCCCCATGGGGTCGAAAATTTTGAATACGTTAGTGTTTGGGGGGGGAAGGGTTAGACAATTGTCACAATTCTTAACAGGGGAAGAAAAGAAACAAAAACAGCATCATCTGAAAAAGTACAAAATGGAGGAAGAGGACGAGGAGGACGAGGAAGAGTACGCGAAGGAGTACGAAGAGGAAGAGGACGACGAGGAGGAGGAGGAGGAAGAGGAGGAGGAAGAGGAGAGGGTGAAAGGAAAGGAGGGCGGACTTGACGAGGAGGAGGAGTAGGGGTAGGGGGAGAGAGAGGAAGAAAAGTCGGGCGAAGGCCCTACTTTTCTTCCTCTCTCTCCCCCTGCACCTCCTCCTCCCCCTCGTCAAGTCCGCCCCCCTCTCCTCTTCCTCCTCCTTCTTCCTCCTCCTTTTCCTCGCACCTTTATCTCTCGTCTATCCCCCCATCCTCCTCCTCCTCCTCCTCCTCCTCCTCTTCCTCGTACCTCAATCCCGTTTCCCGAGTTTTGACGAATATTGCGCCTCAATCCTGCCATCCTCCTCCTCTTCCTCCTCCTCCTCCTCCTCCCCCACCTCCTCCTCTACCTCGTACCTCAATCCCGCGTTGGAACGATACAGAGGGATGATCATGGCCCATGCGCAAGGATGACACGCATGAATCGAGTAATAGTCTCTCTCCCCCTACCCCTCCTCCTCCCCCTCGTCAAGTCCGCCCTCCTTTTCTTTCACCATGTCCTCCTCCTCCTCCTCCTCCTCCTCCTCCTCCTCCTCCTCGCATCTTTATCTTTCGTCTATCCCACCATCCTCCTCCTCCTCCTCCTCCTCCTCCTCCTCCTCCTCGTACCTCAATCCCGATTCCTGAGATTTGACGAATCTTGCGCCTAAATCCTGCCATCCTCCTCCTCTTCCTCCTCCCCCTCCTCCTCTTCCTCGCACGTTTATCAAGTTTGTCTGTAGTCCATCTCGTCATCCTCCTCCTCCACTTCCTCCTCCACCTCCTCCCCGTCGTACCTCAATCCCACGTTGGAACAATACAGAGAAGATTATCATGGCCCATGCGCAAGGATGACACGCATGAATCGAAATTTCGAAAACCAGTCCGCATTTGAAAAAAAAAAAAAAAAAAAAAAACGCCAAAAGGTGGAGGACAATACTCCTTCGACGAATCTTGCACCTCGATCCCGCCATCCTCCTTCTCATCCTCCCCCTCCTCCTCCTTCTCCTCCTCCTCCTCCTCTACCTCTTGTCGATCCTCTGCGCGGATGAATCTTTCGATGAAAAAATAATAAAAAAAAAACATCGATTTCTACTTTTCCACAGCCGGCGACGACGACCATAACGGACATGACGACAATGACGAGAGAGAGAGAGAGAGAGAGAGAGAGAGAGAGGGGGGGAGAGAGAGAGAGAGAGAGAGAGAGAGAGAGAGAGAGAGAGAGAGAGAGAGAGAGAG